GAGGGAGGGGATATAGTTTGCATCCTATTCAGCTACCGTGTATATTTTAGTTTCTTTGGGGCATCTTTTTGTCAATAAAGCTTTTTGCCCTTATACTTATGAGTTTTGCCCCAAGATATTTATAGATTTACCTAGAGATACTGGATTTCCCACTGCTTATTCTCTATATACCGCTCAAGTAATCACCAAGAGATATTGTATCTAGGGTGTATCCATTATTCATATCAGCTATTTGAGGGACCCCCTTGAGGGAGCCCTCTCCATTTAATTTTTCTGCTATTCACCAGGCCCAAAAAAATTTTTTAAAAAAAAGAGGGAGCACATTCAATAAATGCTAGGGAGAGTATTCCTATAGTACACTAAGAATTTGTTATTTAAAAGAGCGAGAACCCTAAACAAACACCACTTACAAATAGGCTTAAAAGTTCTTAAAGTCAGCGGTCCGAGGCGATATATATATATATATATATATATATATATATACACACACACATAACTTCTGAAAGTGGCTTGGGGTGGAATATCACAAATATTCATGTATAACTAATGCAAGGATGCTGATGTAGCGGAATGCTAACGCAGGGACATCTGCTCCAAAATTATAGTACAACAGGAAAGTACAGTCACTTGCCTGTTCAGATGCCCCCAGATTGCATATAAGTATGACTGAAGAATTAACTTCTAAGCCCACAATGTATATTTGGGATTGCATCCAACAAGAGACAGTCTGCATCTGTTCTAGGCAATGGTCCGTGTTTATTAGTATTATGCATCACTTAGACTAGTAGGCCATAAGTATATATCCTTAATATTGATAGAATAACCACCCTACGCTCAAATGGAAATGGATACATGTTGCATGTAAACATGTATCAATGTAGAATCTCATTTTATTGAAAATGTATCTATGGAAGTCTAACATTTGCAGAGGAAGCAGAATTTGATCTGGTGATTCATGGGATTAAAAAAAAAAATTTTAAAAATTATATTTTCAGTGTTTTGCCTTCTCCAAGAAGACTGAATAGTATCCTACGTTGTTTCAGGGGTGTAACCATATTAGGAAAGAAAATAATGCCAACACTTTTCTAATAAAAAACAAACAAAAAACAGTGTATTACATATGTTTACAAGATATGGAAATATTTTAAAATGCTGGCATTCCTATAGCAATAGAAATAAAACTTTTTTTTCCCACTGTTAAAAAATATTTTTTGTAAATTATGATTTTAGTTGGCTACCAAACAGAAAGAGAAATAGAGAAAGAGTACTTATGTAAAGCAGTGGTAATTTTCAATGACAGGCCTGTGCAACCAGTCAGCCTACTTTTTATTAACAAAGCTTTTTGTTTAGTGCGGACAGTGCCGGATTCCAAATGCATTCATAAATTATTAAAACCTTCATTTTTTTTATGTTGCTACCTTATGCTGCGATAGTTTTTTCCCCACATCAATCCATACCCATTACAAACTAATAACATTTCTTAAAACTTGCAAATTTATTAAAAAGAAAAAAACTGAACTATCCTATTGACAATCAGTCCCATTTTTCTCGATCATATAGATCAGTTGACTGGACATTCTTTTGGTCCAGTTGACTGGACATTCTTTAAAAAGGCACAGCTGTAAACGCATATCAGACCAAAAACCAGTCATGAGGTCAAAGGAACTACCTGCAGAGCGGAGAGATAGGATTACATCATAGATCTGGGGCAACCAGGACTCTTCCTAAAGTTGGCTACCTCACCAACTGAGAAGGGCTTGGTAAGAGATGCAACAATGAACCCGATTGCCACTGTGTGAGCTTTATGTGTGGAGATGGGAGAAACTATTACTGCACTTTATGTCAGACTGGCCATGCAGAAGCAGTGGCAGTACCGGTGGGATGTTCTTATCTATGCAGAAAGAGAACCCCTAAACAAAGTTTAAATAATAAAGCAGACTCCTCTATCTTATCCCTTAATAGGTTGTTTCTTACTGAGCACCAGAGTCATAGCAAGAAACCACACATAGACCAAATGCTGCAAAGAAATCTAACTTTAATATCAAACAAAGGAGACAGACTTGTATTCTTGTACTGCCACTATAATAAGGAAAATAGTCTTTATGGTAAATAAAATTTCTGTTTTCCTCATGTATTGTGACAGAACCTGCGGGATATGGCAAGGTCCCAAATGGGTGGGAAAAATCAAGAAATTACAATGTAGAGCACCTTGCGCCTAAAAGCAGATTCTGAGGATGAAAAGATGTCTAGTCTGTAGTGCCTTAGAAATGTATTAAATACGACCACGTTGTTGCTTTGCAAATATCCTCTGGAGATGCCGAAAATTTAACTTTAGTGCACCTTTACTTGGAAAAGGTAGGCTGAACTCATTAAGTGCGTATGTCAACTTGCTTGTGTCAGTAAACCACATGGCAATGGTAGGATTAGATGCTTCTCTACTTTGATATGGGCCTTACAAGTTGATAAGTTAATGGTCCGATGACCTGAAATGTCTTGATATTGATTTCTAGTGCTCTTTTGATGCCTTGAATGTGTAGTTTTGTTTCTAAGTAGAAGGAGGAGACTAGCAAAAGGACGGAAGAATAATGAAATGATTAACAGTTTTAGGCAGGACCTTCAGTAGAAATAATGGTTTGGGATGTAAAACCACCTTGTCCTGATGAAAGATCATAAAATTTCAGAGCAAGACTGGGCTTGAATTTGCATTTGGCAAACGTGTTAGCCACCAGAAAGGCTGTCTTCAATGACAATTTATATGAAACTTATTCCAGCAGCTTGAACTAGCAGTTGATTTGATAGAGGAAGTTCCCAAGATGCTTGGGTCGTCTGTTTCAATTCCGAAAACCAACTGCGATTCAGCCTATATGGGATGATACCTAATGCCGTAGCCTAGTCTGTTCTGATCTGTTTAAGGATATGTGAGATTAGAGCAATTGGGGAAAATACAAATGCCATCTTGAAGTTCCATTTCACAGTGAGAACACCTATAAACAGAGTAGTCTGTCCAAAATGAGATGTAAAATTGCACTTACAGATAGAGCAGAGAGACAGACATACTACGTACTATATTCTGCAGTATCTTGCTGTCTCCACATATACTAGCTCTAAGAACACCTCAAGGCGCTACTCCCTCTTTTTCTACGTACCTTTTATTGGCCCAGAACGGAGAGACTTAGTTCTTAATTCTTTAAGTGTGTGATCCACGGTTTGAATTCTTGAAGTGCGTTGAAAACTGCCTTCATCTCTCGGTAATTGGAAGGTTGGGTCACCTCCTCCTTGGACCAAAAGCCTTGACGTTATAGGGTTTTTAGGGGAGCACCCCATCTGAACATGGAGGAGTCTTTCATAAGAGTAATCCATTCCCTATGTCAAAAGGAGAAGCATTGGAACAGAGACTGACTTTCTTCACCAATCTAGTTGATTTCTGACTTTGGTTTTCAGATCTATTTTTCCTTACCAGTTTTCCAGGATCTTCCATTGCAGCAGCCTCATTCGTGCTTTTGCGCACTGCACCGCTGGAATGGCGGAAATGAGAATGGCTCATGGCTTTTCTGATACAGGTGGTCCTCGCTTTACGACGAAGCCTTGAGAACCTCCTCTAACATATCGCAAAAAATGTATTTGCTAGCTTTAAATTTCTAATCAAGTGACAATTACTTCTCAGATCCTTCCAAAATAGTCTAGCTATTGCAGCCATACATTTTGGGCTCTCGCTCCTGTGGCACCAGCTTTACACTGACAGCCTGCTGCTTGAAATAATCTTCTGCAAGACGTCGCTGTCGGTTTGTCCATTGGGTTCTTGGGACCCGCACCTTCCCCATTGAGAGTGACATTACAGAAACTGAATTTGCCTATAGGATTTCCATTGAAGTGTTAGACATTAGGTTGCTGCGCCGTACAAGAGAAGGCTAAAAGAGGAAAGGAAAATGTAAAAAAATATTTTTCTGCCTATACCCTCAAGTGGCAAGAATAGGGTACTTTAGGTAAATGCACTCAGATGTCCCCTTATGAGTGCCTGATCAGGTACCCTCTCCAGCCCCAGGCCTGTATGAGAGCCAGCTGCTGCAGTCCACAGACAGACTTACAGGAGCCAAGTCTTTCCCCTGCTGGGGGTTGCAGGAAGACCAAGGTGGAGAATACTGCTCTTCGGCAGCAGATCTTTGGCCTGTGTTGTTGGTGCATAGAGGCTCTCTGCCAGGGAAGAGCCTTCTGAGGCTCTCTGCCAGGGAAGACAGGAAACAGAATGAGTAGATGCTTGCAGACTTCTTGTGCCTTGGGGGATACAGTCTTCTCCGGTATGGTATGTCTGTATTCCTCACGGTTTAGTCAGGGAGGCTCTTGTGTGCTCACGTAGCTTAAGCCAAAAAGCCCTGGAATACCTTGTCTAAGCATCGCAAACTGTATTCCATCGATCCACTGTGAGACTGTTGGGATGGGCTCAGGCCCTGTACAACAGCATGAGGAGCATCTGCCTTCTTGCTTGACATGAGGAGTACTGATCTGAGCACAAGGTAAGTGCAGCAGAAGTAGCACAGTGAACTTCAGTGTGGACTGGAATATCCCCTGCTGGCCCTGGGGGGTGTTGGAGACAGTGCACTGGGTGAAATACGCAGTGGTGTGAGCAAAGGATCGTCCGTCTCCCCTGCTCAGAGCCCACCAGTAGGCTTCAGAGGTAAGTCTTCTCAATACTGCGATTTATTGCATACCCAAAGGGATCACTCGATGGTCTGCAGCTTCACATAGTGTATAGCCGGATTACAGGCTTAAATTGGCTATGGTTTCGTTATAAATGGATTAAATTTACATTTTCATTGGAGCGCTCCAGCAACACGTCTTCCTCGTTCATTTGTCAGGCCCCGCCCCCCATTTAAACTTTCTTTTATGGGGTAGTCGTCCCGCATAGATAAAAACATCCCATAGGTACTGCCACTATAAGTGAGGAAAAACAAGTTGTGAATTTCCCCCCCCAAAAAAAGCACCTAAAAGGACAAACTGTGAGAAAAGATGATTTGGTCTGATGAAATCAAGATTAAGCAGTTTGGCTTCAATTTAAAGTGTCTGGAGAATAACAGGCACCATGCCAAGGGTGAAGCACGATGTTGGCAGCATCATGCTTTTGGGAGCGTTTTTCAGCAGCAAAAACTGGGAGAATGGTCAGAGTTGAGGGAAAGCTGAACACTGAAAAGTACAGTGATATCAAAGGAGAACTACAGACACAAACTTGTTTTCCTGGCACTATAGGGTTATAAGGTCACCCCTCCCACGTGCCCCCCCCCTTCAGCCACTTACCTTAATCCAGCACCGGGCTCCCTCTGCGCTGGTGACCTCTCCTTGCCCTGCCAGCGTCAGCTCCGAATGCGTGGCCAGTGCCACGCGCGCATTCAAACCACCCAAAGGAAAGTATTACTCAATGCTTTCCCTATGGACGTCAGCGTCATCTCAGTGTGATTTTCACACCGAGAATCACAAAAGCACTTCTAGTGGCTTCAGGAAGACAGCCACTAAAGGCTGGATTAACCCTCAATGAAAACACAGTTTCTGTGAAACTGCTATGTTTTTCAGCTGCAAGCAATCAGACCACCTTCAATGAGCTGAAGTGGTCTGGGTGCCTATAGTGGTCCTTTAATCAAAACCTAAGCCAGAATGCTCAGGACCTCAGATCGGGCCGAAGGCTTACCTTCCAATAGGACATTGTAGCCAAGCACATAGCCAAGACAACGCAAGAGTGGCTTAGTGACAACTCTGTCAATGTCCATGAGTGGCCCAACCAGATTTGAACATCTCTCGAAAGACAATATGACAGACCTTAAGAGGGTCTGCAAAAATTACCCAAATCCAAGAGTGCAAAGCATTTTGCCCTACACCAAAAAGACTTGAGGCTGTAATTGCTGCTTAACATACTTCAGAGAATTTCATACTTATGTCAATGTGATATGTCAGTCTTTTTTGGTTTGTTATGGGTTTGTTATAGTGTATTGAGTGTAGATTGATGTGGGGGAAAAAATTTACCAATTGTAGGATAAGGCTGCAACATTTAAAAAATGAATGGATTTGAATATTATCTAAATGCTCTGTAGGTCTACAGCACAAATACTCCTGATATTCCTATCATACAATACAAAATGAAAACGATAGCAAGGCTTAGGCAGTACAGAGGTCCAAATGTTGGCCAAAATATATGGTAATAAAAGGTTTTTCTCAATCACTTGCATCCTGCAAATATGTAATCCTCATAATACGTCTTTATGGTTCTGAGTTGCAATGTACTTATTTCACTAGTTTAGTGATATGAAAAACATTTAATAAAAGTAATTAACTACTAATGAGCACTCTACTTAATGGTATGTTCCCAAGTTTGGTTATCAAGTTACATATTTGTAATCAAGCAAGCATCCAAAGACGATTTGGAGTGATTAGTATCTGTGAAGGATTTTTATGTATTTGTCTATATGCTTTCAGCTTAACCCTCTCCCTGCTGTTTTAATGTCTGTATTTGTTCGGTTCAAAATGTTGAGAATAAATGTATTCGTTTACCGAAAGGAGACCACACACCCTGGGTAGCAATTAGAACACAGAGAAACCGCGACTTAATTGCTACTAGGTGGCCGCCATTCGACATACGAACACGTGGCGAGAACTAAGGATGGCGGCCATCTTAAAACTCACGAATGCGGTCAGCGGGGCTTACGCATGAATTACATGGAACTGTTTTCGGTACGGGAAACATGCGACCGCCCGGTCCCCATGGAAGTCCTGGATGAATACATTCCCCTCCACGAATCAAACTGGTGTTTGGTAGATAGCATTTACCGAATGAGGGGAACATTCACATGTAACCAGCTGAACCATACGAGCGGTGGTTTTCGTGTAGTTAGATGCGAACGGAGACCGGCTCTTGCTACTGATTCTATGGAACTCTAGATCGGATACCTCCACATGGCAAGCCGGTCAAACTTCCACACGATGCGACACGGAAACTACCGAACGGAAATTCGTGAGATTTGGATATGTGACTACCAGTATCCTCAGCTACCCAGGGATGTTAAAAGTATATTTGTATGTCTTGTAAAAAGTATGTTTCTGAAATTGTTAAAAATGGTAATGTTTCTGGCCAGCAGATAATTGAGCTTTGTGTATTGTAGAAACTCAATTATCGAGCCTGGCCCAGAGGAGGAGTTTTGTGTTGCATAAATTGTGAGTTCTGTGTGCCAGTAAATCAGTCTTGTTCCAGCTTTGGCTCATGTGTGGATTATTCGGCGATTCCAGGGATATTTCTACTTATGGAATATTGAGTGCTTTTCTTTTATGGGAAGAAGGGAATGCTTGACGGGGATATTTTCTACTACCGTCACAGTATCATTGGCTAGTGCAAAACTTGGGCACTATGGGCTCGAGGGGCACTATGGGCTAAGAATACAATTTTGTATTAAATGAATAGGAAAATATGCACTTGTGCATTGAATGCTTTTTTAAAATAAATAATCCAATAGCTCCTAACCAGTAGGCAGCCATATAAAAAGGAAGAGGGGGGGGGGGGCGTGGTCTGACGCTGGACAGAGATGGCTGTCTAACTCCGTGGCTCCATCCCTAGATGCCCTAATTCAACTGCAATACGCATTACATGGTTTCCATGGGTTGCACAAAACGCACCCAAATGACACCCTCAACCCCTAGAACCCAGGGGGAACCCCCTTCAGCGCCTATCCGGGGATACCTCCATACGGCGGCGGTTTTGGCGGCATGCCTGGAAAGCCACAAACATGAAGCCGGCATCGCAAGGCTCAACGGTGTCGGAGGCGGAATCCACACCAGAACAAGATGGGATGCCACCTTCAACACCGGATTGGTACACACGGTTTGCTTCCTTGCCCAAGAAGGAGGATTTTCAAAAGCTGGTGGATGAAGTAACGGGTACACTACAAACCGAGATATCAGTGGTGCGTACCTCTCTGGCATTCCTGGAAACCCGAATCAGCACCCTAGAGGAGAGGGACTCCTGTGCGAGAGGCCCCGACCCAGCAGTTACCCGTTAACAAGCGGCACAGACTGCGGACATGAGACTACATATTGAAGATCTTGATAATATACGTGTGATGGGAGTGTGGGAAGCCCTAGACCAGGAGAATCTTCGAAGCATCACTTATCCACCTTTTCAACATGATCCTGGGCCGACCACCGGAGGCACGGGTGGCAATGGACAGAGCACACAGGGCACTGCGCCCGCAATCACCTCCCAATGCTCCTTCAAGGGACACCAGAGTCCAGGATTTCCAATTGAAAGCGGAAATCATGCTGAAAGAGAGCTGAAAGGGCCCGGCGTTTTGAGGGCCAACTGGTACAGCTATATAATGACCTGTCACACCTCACACTGCAAACAAGAAGGGCTTTGCGGCCTGTCACAATGCCAATGCAGCAAGAATGGATTCGTTACAGGTGGATGTTCCCCTTCGCCCTATCAGCCCGCAGAGGGAACACAGAGGCCACCATCCGACTACCTGAGGACGTACCAGTTTTCATGGATGCACTAGAGCTCCCGCGCATACAGGTTTTGGACTGGCTAACCTGCCCGCTGAACGAGCGAAATACGGGACAACCGGTAAGCCGCAGGTACCCGACGGGGGGGGAGAGACACACACTGGGATGGACATCTCTTCGCTCCCCCAAGCCGGACCGGAGGAGTAATCACTAAAGCCGCAGGGGGACTGACGGGGAATGGTCTGAAGCCTGTCGGCGACCTCCCCCAACGCAAAAGCAACGGGACTTAGCATCAGAGACTGCTAACTAATGTACTTACAGAGATAGGTTGTTGATTAACTAAAAGCTCAGGATCTCAGCTGATATACCCATAAGTATATAACACTTACCCTTTTTCCTCTTCTTTCCATACTAATAGATGAGGTTGTTGAAACTCATAACGTGTTTCCAATCTTACTCTAATATAGCTAAACAAAACACAGAGCTATGGACACCCATCTGCTTTCTTAATATGTGAAGCACTCTGTCTCAGGCTTCCTCTCAAGCCTCAGGTACCAGTTGATCAACGGATAAATAAATAGTTCAAGATTTGTCTCAACTCAATTCGTCCGCCCGTATATAGACAAGACACTAAAATAGTTAAATTCCGCTAAAAGGGGAGGCGTGTACAAGCCCTCTCTGAAAGGCACGCCATAAACATATACATAACTATATGGCACACCAAGAGGGGGAACCCTAGCCGCTGATTGGGCTCCGACACCTAAACCTCCGGGTGCTCAAAGATACCACGGTCACCCAACTCACAAGGGGAGCGATGGCCACAAGCTGAGCAAACCGGGACAGACAAGCCTAGAGAAATGCTGAGATACTCCATGTGGAGACGGGACGGCACAGGGGGCTTCCTGCTGCAGGGGGGGCCGCTACCATAGATACATACCGCTATTCACTGTAACTGCTCTTATACTATGTCAATGTTTGTACACAAATATATACTACTACAAGTCTCCTGCGTGACCTTACATGACCTAGTACAACCATACACAATATCAGGCTACTGATGTCAAAATGCCCACTGCCAATGCTACAGGCGCACACTACTGTAACCGCCATCCACTGCGCAGAAATACATGTGGACACATGCAAAGGTACCCCGGGGGGACAAACTACAGGCTTTAGACTACTTCACCGAAACGCCCGTGCGGGCTCCCCTGCAGAGCCAGACAGTGATATCACATGCTCTTACTCTTGACGCTCCCAAACCGCTCCCCTACCATGGTGAGCTCAGACACAAACACACGAAGGGTCCCGTGCTGTACTGTTAAGATGGGAGACTATAGGTCCCACAAAACGCACACGAGGATCCACAAGATGGGCGACCAAACACGGGGGGGCTCAGAGGGGGACGACTACTATACGGAATATAACCACCTTTTACCAGATAATATAGCGCAGGCAGGTTTTACCTCACCATCAAGCCCATGGAATGGTGGTAACACCACTGACTAGCCATACTGAAAATAATATATATACATATACACACACACACACACACACACACACACACACACTTTTTTCTCCTCCTCTCTACACCGACAGAAGTGATGATCTGAGCCAATCTCAATGATTTCAAATAGGAAAGCATTGGATTGGCCGAGACTGTCAAGGCATCGGGGACGGTCAACTAGCTCATACTCCATAGAGAGCTAGAAAACACCCCACGGGCATACTGCAAAGATCCTGAGGATTCGAGGGCGGAGAAAGAGAATATTGATTCTACGCTCGGGCCCAGTGTCACATTGCCCATACTTGAAACGCCTTCAGCGGTCCTCCATATCCAGCCAGCCCACCTGCTTCCCTTCCACCTACCGGCCCCCTTTCCTTGCCCACCTTTTTTTGTCTCCTTTTTTTCGCTTCTTTCCCTCCCCTCCCTCCCTCCCCTCCTCTTACCTGCCCCCCCCTCCCCATGGCCGGTATCTCTCTGCTTTGCCGCCGCGCACCTGCCTGAGGTGCTCTACTCAATCAATGCGAGGGGACTTAACTCTCCGCAGAAACTAGCACAGACGCTCCGAGAATTGAGAGCCCTGAGAGTGTCCATTGCATTCTTTCAAGAAACCCACTTTCTTGCAACTCAAGCCCCAAGATTCTCTAACAAATACTACCAAACGGGATTCTTCTGATAACCCAGCAACCAAGTCCAAGGGGTGGCAATTCTCTTTTGGGCGGACGTCCCCTTCCGGAAAGAGGCGGAGCAAATCGGGCCCCCAGGGAAGATACCTCTTCCTGAGGGGCACAATCCAGCAAGCGAAGTACACCTTTGCAAACGTATACCTCCCTAACAATGGCCAGAAATCCTTCCTAAAAGGAAAACACTTGCAGTCCTGGAGTCATTCGCCGAGGGCACGATCGTGCTGGGGGGAGACTTCAATGTCCCCATGGACCCACAAAAGGACACATCCTCTGGATCGATGACTCTACCAGATCACGTCATACAGGGCACCAGAGCCCTGCTGCGGGAGCATCTGCTGGTGGATTGCTGGCGCACGCTAAACTATGTTGCAAAGAATTACACCTTTTATTCAACCGCACATAAATCCTATTTGACTCTATTACTTCTTTCTGCAACATCACAACCTGGATAACCTCCTATCGGCGCACATTGCGCCAATGATGTGGTCGGATCAAGCGCCTGTACTCATTTCAGTCAGGCCTCCAGGCCCTACCCAAAAGCAATGGATATGGAGATTGAACAAGGCTCTACTTGAAAACCCTACAATTAACACAGACATCCTCACAAATCTGGAACAATTTTTCTTATAAAACGCCACCCCAGGAGCCAACCCGTCCACAGTCTGGGAATCTCACAAGTGTGCACTGAGAGAACTCTTGATCAAGCACAGATGGCACCAAAAGAAACTCCGCACCCAAGAGATCTCCGACTTGATTACCAAAACGAACCTACAGGACAAACGACTGGAATATGTGACCCGCCACATCACCTCTAAGCTGAGCACAGAGGCGAAAGAAGCTCTAGACGAACCCATCTCCATAGAGGAGCTGCACATGGCGATGAAGCTTGCGAAGATGGGGAAAAGCCTGTGACCGGACAGGTTCACTGCACAGTACTACAGAACATACGCTACAGTCCTAGCGCCGCACCTGGTAGCAGTCTTCAACTCAGAGATGGGAATGCTCTGGAGCCCAACATGCTCATCGCCCATGTGGTGGTGTTGCCGAAGGAGGGAAATGACCCAAAGGAGTGCGCCAGCTACAGACCGATCTCCCTGTTGAACGCCGACCTGACACTTTTCACGAAGATTCTAGCCCTCCGCATCCAACCCTTCCTACCGTGGCTTATACATCCAGATCAAGTGGGATTCGTCAAAGGAAGGGAGGCCCACAACAACACGGTAAAGGTGATCAACTTAATACACAGGGCCCAAAAGCAATCGTCCCCGGTACGGCTGTTATCGACGGATGCGGAGAAGGCGTTCGACAGGGTGAATTGGTCTTTCCTCATGACGACTCTTCAACAGGTGGGATTCGGACCCCACATGCCATCATGGATACAAGCCCTCTACTGTAAACCAGCAGCGCGTGTAAGCGTGAACAGAATCCCCTCCCAACCATTTGACATATGAAATGGGACTCGACAGGGATGCCCCTTATCGCCCCCACTCTTTGTCATCAGCCTGGAACCGTTCCTCAATGCAGTAAGGGAGAATCCTGGTGTGAGAGGAATTTGAGGGTCCTGGGGAGACAGTAAAATATCCGCGTATGCTGAAGATCTTTTCTCAGTCACGAACCCGCGTCCACCCCTACAGACAATCATGCAAGAATTCGAAACGTATCACCTCCTCTCAAACTTACAGATAAACTACAGAAAATCAGAAATTCTCAATATAGGATGCAGCACGAACGTAGTAAGGGCGATCCGTGCTGTATTCCCCTTCCACTGGTGAAGTGAGGCCTTAGGGTACCTAGGCATATGGATATCAGCAAAGTTGACTGACTTGTTCAGGCTCAACTTTACCCCACTTCTGGGACGGATACAGAAGGACCTACAACAATGGACACTACCACACATCACGTGGCTGGGGAGAATAAGTGTCCTAAAAATGAACGCCTTCCAAGACTGCTGTATCTTCTCCAAACCCTGCCGATAAACATACACAGGGAGTTCTTTGCTATGGCACGCAAATAGTTTGCTCCATTACGTGTGGAACGGGAAGCAAGCTAGACTGAGATGAGATCCTCACACAGCCCAAACAGAGGGGGGGGGACTGGGACTACCGGACCTGCTCAAATACTGCCAGGCAGTGCACCTGCAGAGGATCATGGAGTGGACCCATGCACCCCCGGAGAAGCTCTGGATAGAGATGGAGAGCAGCCTTTCCAGGATCCCTCTGACGTTACTGCCGTGGATGCCGTGGGGAACGGAGGGAATGCTCCTGAGGAGCCACCCGACCATTAACGCTACAATGAAAATATGGTGGAGGCTGGGCCCATGGGGGAACCAGTCGCCGCCAGTGTCACCCATGTACGCTATTGCGGGAAACCT